TGGCGGTGCGAAGCCCGTGTAGTCCCCTTGCACCGTCACGATCCGGCAGAGATAGGCAGGGGAATACCTTCACATTGCAACACCGCGAGCTCAAAGCCTGTCCTCAAACACGGGCACAGCTTTGAAAACAGGCACTGCCCTGTTGAGCTCGTGTCTGTGGTGTCCCCGTACCTGGGGCCACATTCAGCAGCGTGACCTTCTTCTCCTGAGTGTGCTGGGCACAAGGAGCACCCCGGGAGGGGACACAGTATTTTCAGTCCCCTCTGAGCACCCAAGGAGTGACATTAAACTGCAGAAAGATGCCTGGGCTCAGCTACCCCCAGCCACAACAAGCTGTCAACATCTCATTACAGGCCTAGAGCAAAACTCCAAAGCTACCATCTCCCCTTTCCCCGCAGAAAAGCTGAATTCATTCATTGGATGCAACTCCTGACAGCCCAAGGAAATGAATCACTCCTTGACAGCTGTGCTGTGGACTTCTATGTCTCTTCTGAAAATGAAGTGGAGCAGGACTCCTTCCTGGCCCTGACGCAAACCACATCTTTACGAGCAGGACCCATCACCTTGGTTCCAGCTGGGCTGTGCAAGATGCTGGACCACCAGGGAGCAGGAAAGCCCATCCCTGGTCCAAGAGAGAGCCACCATCTAGTCATCACCCCAGCGCAGCCACATTCATGACAAGGGTGTGGCCAAAGGGGCTCAGACCCATGAGATGCAGGACACAGCGCACACAGCCCCGCAGGGACAGAGCAGGATTGAAACAGCTCCTGCATTGTCCAGAAAGCTGGAGCACACCTAAAAATGCTTGGCCCAGCTTCTCCTGTGATACCAGATGCAAAATCCCTGCCAGAATAAAGTCAGAGGAACACCACGGCACCTGTGTCCACTCCATTGAGAGGTTCTGGGAAATGCGGTTTGCGGTACTGAGGATCTGAAGCGCCAGGAAAAGCTCTCGGGGAACAGCACCATCCTGATACCATCTAACCTGTTCAAGTACCTCCCAGACGCTGGAGCTGTTTTCTTCCTATGCGAGCCCCCCCGCCCAGCCCTCGGGCAGGGCAGAAGGGAGGTGCGCCAAGCACAGGGGTGAGAAACTGCCTGGGGGGTAGGAACTGGGCTTAGAGGACATAAGGGGAGCTGCTTGCTACCGTTTCTCAACTTGCAGCAGCGTAGCCCACCCAAGGAAAGGGAGGCAATGAAGGACGAGCTGGCTTGGGGCTATCCCCAGCCACACCAGGATCTTCCTCGTCACCCATGACAGCCTCTGTCCCCACTGGGTGCTCACTGGCCTCAACACAACTGCCCTTGGGGCTCCTGATACAGGTAGGCAAGGGGTTAAACCAGGGGACAGGCTGTGGTTTTTGTCCACGTCTCTTCTCAGCAGCTTCTTCGCCAGGTCCCGACCTCACTCAACGCTGCTGCAAAACCAAGTGACCCTCTAACATCAGACAGCAGCTCTGAATTCATGGCCGGTATGACCCGTTGAGACAGGCACTGCCTTCCCCAAATCCTCGAGGACAGGCGATTGTACCCAGCAGGCAATGGCAGGGCTGACACCCCCGATAACCCCCATTCTCCCCACCCCTTAATTGCAGCAAACCCAAACATGGAGAGGAGCGCGGGCCACCCCTTCCACCTCACCAGCACCTCGTGCTCCTCACAACTACAGGAAAGCCCATTAGGAGCCAACTCCTGTCCTGCACGTGTTGGGCAGGGAGCAGGGTAAGTGCCATCTCCTTCCCCACCATGCTGGCAACCTTCCTTCTAGAAACATCTCCAGGACGTGGAATCCTGGGTCTGTTCTCACCATCTCACTTTCCATCACCGCAGCTGTCTGGCCAGGGACAGCTCTCACAAGAGAGCAGGGATCAGGCTTGCACCACTGAGGACCACACTTACACCCGAGGGAGACCATGGCATAAAGCCACAGGTGGCTCCAGGAGGCTCGGGAGGGATGGGGTGGCTTAGAGGACTTGGTGGTGGGGTAGCTCATCTACCGTGAGGTCAAGCCCAGCCCAGAGGGACACAGTCACCCTCCTGACAAGCAGCAGATGATCCCAGGAGGGTTCCCCAGCCGCAGGTAACAACAAGGTGCCCGGGAGCTGCTTTGGCTCGTCAGACCTGGAGAGCAAAGGGCAGCAAGGTGGGAGCAGCAGATGAGCCCCGGTGCTCCCCCAGCCCCCTTGCTCATCGGGGGGTGCCTGACAGCCACACAAAGGGAACGTCTCCTCCTCTTCTGAAATGCTTCCCTGGACATGCCTTGCTTTTGGTTTCATTTATAATTCTTTTTTACCTTCCTTCTAGCATCGGCCTCTTGAGATTTAAAAGGGGAAAATTCTGTTTCTGGCCGACCTGACTCAAATCAGAAAGGAAAAGTGCTTTTCTCTCACAAGCCCTTTCCTCTCCTCTTTTCTCTTTCTGTTTGTTTTTTAATTTGGGGCAGGGCAGCTGGAAAGGCAGAGAAAAGGGAAAAACTAATCGTAAACTCCACAAAGGATCTATTTCCACCTGACTCGGATCGAATAAAATTTTCAACAGCAAATAGCTCCCACCTTCCACTCTTGTTTGAAAAGCGATTTGTGGAGGGGGGGGGGCACTTTGCAACCAGCAAGATAAAGAGATTAACTGTGAGTTTGCTCCTTTCTTTGCCGGAGATCAGCGAGACAGAAGTTGGGAGAGCTGGAGCAGCGGGAAATGCCCTGTGGGCGATAGCCAGTGCTGGAGCTCTGACAGGTCACAGCCTTTTCCATAAGTCTTGTCAAACTGCTCTGATAAACACCCTCCCGGAGCAAAGGGTTTCCCAGACGCGCAGCCATCCAGCTTTTCCACCCTCCAGCTACGGCAGCTTCTTCAGCATCTCTTCTATGACCACAGCCTTTGGCATTCGTTAAGAGAAAGGGGGCCAACACACGGAAAACTCCTCCCCAGGAGATGTGGGGTCCAGCCCTGGGCTGTCAGGGTTTTGCCACCCATAACGCTTCACCCTGGGTGGGTTTGCAAAGAAGTCCCGACGTGGCTGTTGGGGACTGGGCAGGTGATGCACGGAGCACGGGTGAGCTGGTGCTCAGCTCCAGCCCTGCAGTTTTCCAGCCTCCATCCCAGGGACCCCATTGTCCATAAAGGGACACGGGATGGTCTTACGGCAAAGGGATGACATCTCTGATCGGCCACCCCCGAGGCCCGCCCTCGGCTGCCTCCACCCCGGAGCAAACCGGTGGTGGGGTGGCATTGCCCCAGGGACCAAACCGGGGTGAGAAACCCCTCTTGCCTTTGAAGGGCAGCAAGGATGGTGTCGTGGGATGAAGGTGTTTCCAACCGTGGGTGGGGTTTGCATCCCCACGTCCCCCACGAGGAGGATGAGAGGTGGCACGGGGCTGGCCAAAGCCAGGAGGCACCGCTGCCCATCCGCCCCCCCATGGCCATGGCCAAGGTGTGAGGCGAGCACCAGCCCCTCTGCCTAATCCCACCCGGCAGCCGGGGTTACGAAGGGGGAGAGAAAGCAAACCTTGCCCTCCCCCCCAGAGCAAACAGGGAGCTGCCGCCCTTTCGCACCGGGGACGGGCCCCAGAGATAACCCACACCTTTCTGAAGAGCCACCACCCGACCCTCTGACTTCAGATAACCCACCCAAACCCGGCGCGGAGGGGCAGGGGCTCCGACAGCCCTGGGGTTATGGGGAGAGGCGCCGAACTGGGACCACCGCAGGGGAAGGAGGAGGGTGCTGCATGGCCCTCTCCCCCCCATTTTGACCCCCACGTCCACGACCACCGCTCAATGGCCGCTGTGGATGCCGGATTGCCAGGGCGCCATATGAAAATACGGCAATGGGGACGCTGCCTTCATCTCGCCACCTCCCTCTGAAGGACGGAGCCCCAAAACTGGCCCTTGGGGCATCAGTGATGCCGGGAGAGGGGAAGTGGGCAGCGGAGACACAGCCCCAACCCCTGCCCCGTGCTGAACTGTAGCCACCCACCACGGGGATGCCCTCCCGGGGTCCTCAGAGGAACGGCGGCCGGGGCGACTGGGTCCCTGCGGGGCGGCCGTGGAGCGAGGGGTTGGAGCCGCCCTCCCGCCCCAATCAAAATGGCGCTGGGGACACGGGGCGCGGGGTTAATCATTAGCCGCTGGTGGTGCCGGGCACCCCACACCCCAGCTCGTCCCATTCCTCCGGGGGGGAAAAGGGGCCAAAGCAGCGGCAGCGGGGTGGGGGCAGGCCTGGCTCACTCCCTTTCCCATCCGGAAAAGCAGCTGAAGGCTCTTCATGGTGGGACGAGGGGTCCATCACCCAAAACACCAGTGGGGAGCCTTGCCCCTTTGCCTGGGATGTACAGCAGGGCTTGAACATACTTCTGCCATGGCCCAGGACAGGGGTGGACGTGCAAGAGGGGTGGGAGTGCAAAAGGGGCGCGCGTGCAGCAAAGCCCCAAAGCTGCTTATCCGGGTCTTTATCTCCAGCACGCGCAGGGGGGGGGACGCCGACAGGGAATTTCAAGGAGCATTCCTTCCCCACCATGGCGGCAGAAAAAATAAATATAATAAAATAAAACGGAAAATTACCTCCCCTTTTCCCCCCCCATCACGCACAGACACAGCGATCCTGTTGCCCACGTCTTTCCCAGCGAGCCAGCAGCGGCGCAGAGCCCCTCGGACCCCCTCACCTGCTGGCACCAGGGGAGAGGGACCGAGCCCCAGCTGCGGGGAGCGAGCAAAACCCAGGCTCTCCTCCAAAACGGGCGACAGGGCGTTTCGAAGAAAGGCAGGAGGGGAAAAAAAAAAAAAAAAAATGAAACCAAACACGCCCAAGAGAAAATCCGGCGGAGGGGGAAGCACGAGCATACAAAGCAACAGAGGTGTTTTAGCAAAGAGCGGAAAAACAAAGCAGAATTAAGTCAAAATCCACGCTTGTGTTTGCAGGAGGCATTAGCAGCCTCCGTGCACCTGAGCGGGCGAAGCTGGCCCCTTCCCGCTGCCCCACAGCAAACCGCCGGCCTCCCCCTCACCCGCGCCAGGTCAGGCGGTTTTTCCAGGGGCCGGGCGGGGGGTTTGATGTCCTCAAAGACGGGGGCGTCTTCGCCGGGTTCCCCCGACATGGTGACGGGCTTCAGCGGCGTAAATGCCAAGGCGTCCTCGGGGAACGGGGTGCGCAGCACCAGCCCGCTGCTCATTCCTCCCACGCCCCTCGCACCCACTCCCCCGGGGGGAAAACAAATCTTACTTAAAAATAATATTAAAAAAAGGAAAAAAAAAAAAAGGTGGGGGGGGAAAGGAAGGGGAGGAGAAAGGCAAAAAAAAACCTGAAGGCAGAGGCGAGCCAGAGCGAGTTGCTAATCCTGGGAGGCCAGGTGCCGGGTTGCGGGAAGGCTTTACCTGGGCTGCGGGAGGAGGAACGCCAACCTGGAAGCGGCGGCGAGGCCGTGGCGGGGCA